TAGAACTAAAAATATAGTTATTATTACTAATATTAGAGCAATAATAATAACTATAAAAATGGTGCCCCTAACTATAATTAATCTACCATGGAATTACAAGCACAAATATCATTTTTCTCTTAGTGTGATAGTTAAGCAAAGTATGGGAAATCTCAAAAAATTAGAATAGTAATCAACTTGCGTAATACAGACCTATATTTCTGTAAGGATCTATTTCAAGGATCTATGATAAATACTAGAAGGATGGATTAATCAGCACTGAAATTCTGTAACTCTTAACAAGTGTTAACATTACATTATCGTATTATACAAGTATTATACATATACATATAGTAAAAAAGCTATGCGACAACTATCTAATGACATTGTCGTTAAGAGTTATAGAATCCCAGTGCTGAAATTGTTTTACTGGCACAAAGTTATCTCCAATTAATCTTACAGTATAAATTTCTCGCAATAACGCAACGTACGCTGTGATGCCCGCGCATTCTAATTATATTATTCAAAATTATTATACTACACTGTTACGTTGTATATTGTTACGTTGTATATATATATATATCGAATATACAACGTTAAACTTAATTGATGAAACTACTATTGATATGTATGGTTATTATAACAAGAGAACATGGACATGTATTATTATTACTCGAGCTTTGAATGAAATTTGTTATACCACTAACTTTAGATTTAATATTTTAATGGCCATATTTGATGACATGAAAAGAACGGTTTTGCTGAAATATCGAAAAATTTAACTAAAATATACATCTGAAAATTTTGTTGGATCAACAAAACATTTATGAAAGTTCACACTAATATCACAATGCTGGCTTCGATTTGAAAAAACTGTTTATTTGTCTATGTACACTGTTCTGTTTATCGTACAGTTTCTCAGTTATTTATCACTATTAGTTAACGCTATTTCGATTGCGCCTCGGGGGTTGTTACCCTGAGTCGCGAGGGTAATACTTGCGGACACTAAGATCGAACTGACTTAACTGACTTCAGCACCTCGAAATCGTACGGACTCGCGCTCAATCGACACCTCTTCGCGTTCTCTCGAAAGATTGACTTCTCCAAATTTCTTATGATCCGATCCTCCTCATATTCGTCTATGATTGAATTTCGATCAATTAGAAGCGACGGCGGATCGGCAAACGTGGCAAAAGAGTCACAGACGCCGCGATCCGCTTGATCTTCATCGCGGTGATGTCACGATTGTCCACCGCGTTAGCCGCTGAGATAATTATCGTTATATCAGCGGCAAAGTCCGATCTGACGTCCGCGAAGCATATAAATTGTTTGCCGTCGAAAATCCGATGATATATGACCATTATTTAAGACTCTAAATAATCTCTAAAGTGTCCGACTTCTTTGGTGGGAAGAATCGCCATGGTCGTGCGCGACAATAATCTCGTACCACTCACCAATGAAAAACATTCAAACTGATTGCTAGAAGATCAAAATTTTTCGCAGCACTGTTTCAGTTTTCTATGTGGAAATATTTTTATTGTCTGATAAAATTATTTCCAAATCTGTATCTAAGTAAATTTTAATTAAGAGGTATCTTGGCAAAATAGCAAAATTGTTCTTTCCGTGAATAATGAAGTTAAGTTTGCGTCACAGCAAAGGAGAACTTGAGTGTCTGAGAAAGTAATAAACCAGGAAAACATCAACATGTTGTAACATTATTACTCGAGCTTCAAACCAAATTTGTTGTACCAACATGCCACTAGCTTTGATTTTATTCCTTACATTGGCCGTATTTAATAATAAAGTTAAGTTTGCGCCACAGCACAGAAAGACTTTAAGAATGTCTGAGAAAGGTAATCAACCGGCGCGCTAGTATTAAATCCCGTGGGATTCTGGCTTTGCGATGAATACCTCTTCAGACTCTAAACTCGTCCTAAATCCGCGTTATATCTATGGCACAATGTTAAGTCTATTAGAAGCGCGCTTATGCGGCGCATGAATCATCATAAATTATCAAACCGCAAATGTTACATTATCCAAGAAAATGAGACAAACGTCGAGAATAATCCGATTTCGCGATCAGCAAAGGTATGGATTCGATGAAACAAAATCCGTCGAACGCCCAGAGTGTCATATGAATTAATTAACTCAAAACGTACCCGGATTTCAGACATGGAACGGCAATGTGAAATTGCGTCTGTGTCCGTCCCATATCCATCCGTTTGAGATGTGAATTTGTCCTGCAAATTACATTATGTACACAAGGCACGGCCTCTGATACACGATGCGAGTCTTCCAGCCGAAGGCACAGCGCGAGAGCGTGCATTCCGGGCGCGGCCGTGCTGGTAAAATTTAGACAGTCGAGCTTCAGGATACGCCGAATTGCTGCAACCAGCGCGCGTCGACGACGACTGCGGGACGGGCGGCGAGCCCGGGGACTCTCGTCCCATCGCGTCGGTCGACGGTCTCTCATCTCGTCTCGTGCGCGAGTACGCAATCCCAAAATATTCCGGAGTGGCGATATTTTCTGGACATACAGGGCGACCGACAACTGGCCGTCCGTACACGGGCTGCGTGCGTCCGGGCAATTTACAGCGGCGGCCTTTTGAATTCAGCAGTGCCCAACCGAGCGCAGAATTTTAAACAATTTGCCGCGTGACATGCCGACAGTTTCTACAAAGCCCGCGAAATCTGCACGAGTTTTCTGTATTGGGAACGAACATAAAGATAAATGAGTAAAGGATATTTAGGTATTCATACAGCGTATCCACATTTAACGCTAAATATGATGCACATTTGCGAATAAACGTGTGTTATCGCGTTCTCATCTGACTGCGTCGGAAATTTCTATACCTCTCAGAAAAGCACGACTAACGTCAATCGTCTATCATCGAATATCTCCCTAATTGATGTAATCGTATTGCGAATTAGTATCATTGCCGTCAGTCAAATCTCGACTCTATTTGACAACACCGAATATGGTAGAACAAATTGCTTGCTTGTTTTAGAAATTGAAACATCTACTTGAAACTGATTTATACACTTGATATTATTATTGTTTTTAAACTGAGTCTTTTATTATTTTTTTCATTTTTACTTTTCTTTATTTGTAATTTATTCTTTCTAATTGTGTGACAATTTAAAAATGCGTTTGCCCTTTATTTATTGTTATTTATTATTATTATTTATTTATTGTTATTTATTATTATTTTCACGATAGCAATCGAAGTTAATATAAGTACATTGAATACGTTTTCAGGCACTTTAGACGTAATCAAAGAAACAATGGCACAAATCTAACTTCAGACTTTGGATGGCTAAAAATGCACTTTGGTTCTGTTCAGATTCCCACGGAAAGAACGCTAAAATATTCAAAAATTTAGATACAGATCTAAAAATTATTTTATCGGACCATCAAAATATTTGTGTAGAAAATTCAAGCATGATTAGCAATGCTGCAAAGAAATTTGATATTCTAGCAGTCAGTTTGAGCGTTTCTATTATTTTGATGGTCTAATAAAATTTATTTTCAGATTTATATGGCTATTTGTAAATATACCTACAGCAAAATCGTTAACTCCATGCATTCTCAGTGCTATTCAAGCGCTCTACCCTAGTTGTCCATCGTTAATCTTGTTCAATAAAGATAATATGATATCAGGGAAGCAGTTATTAGTAAAAATCTGAATGCGCCCATAGTGGGCTTTCTCGTCATATTAACTAGCAATTTTTATCTAAGAAAATAAAAAGAACGTACTCCATATACGCGATTGTAGAAATTTTGACACAAAATGGTACTTTCAGCAGAGCTCGATCTCGATTAATCTTTTTTTAAATACGACAAATACGAGTACGTGTCATAACCGTGTTCGCCCAGGTATACATTGTTGCGAATGTAACAATCGGAATACGTATTCTCTCGAACGGTGTCGTGCTCGACGCAAAACTGAAAATACGCACGCGAGTTCGGCACGAGCTTTTTTACAGTCGGCAAAATGTCATCTCGGTGACAAAATCTGGTTAAATCTGATATATCTGCGGAGCGTGGTCAAATAAGTGAGCAGACAAATCTTCGGTTCGTGTATTACAATCTTATAATATTTTTAAATACTTTTATACTTTTTATATATAATATAATATATTCCATCAGCGCACGGTTGCGCACGATTTATTATTATTGGCCAAAATACGAGCGCGAAATTTCCCAGGATGGGATGCCACGTGCAATAGTTTCCAACATACGTTTGGTCAACCATGATTTTACCATTCCCTGTGTCGAAAATTATCATTCTACCTCATATTTCACGATACGAATGTTTCGAATACGACGCAAGACCAACATCTAATCGCCGTATGTGGCAATATCCGTGGTGGAACAGCGATAAGAGTGCTGAATCAAATATATGGAGTAACCGATACGCTGAGTCTTATCTAGGCGAGCGAGTCATTGATTTATCATGCGTCGAGTACTCGCTTCATACGATAATAACCGATAACGAGCTGGTAGGTAAATTTCTAGGTAACGGATCGATGATATCAGCTTTCGTTTCTGTTAGCACACGGTCGAAATGTCGATGTGTTATCGGGAATCAGCGGCGTAAAATTACACCGGAGCCACGTCATCGTATGCGATGCTTTAATAAGAAGTTTGAATGAAAAAAAAGGCAAGTACATGTACCGTGCGCAGGCATGAAAAGAACAATTTCACTGAAGCATCTAAAGAAGCTAAATATAGATAAACAAAATAAATTTCGTTAGAAATCATCAAAATAATTATGTGACGCACAAACTGATTGGAGTGTTAGAATACTACTCGTGATGTTCGAGTTTTCTATATAATTTATGCTTTGACAATCTAATAAAATTATTTTTAAATCTATAACTATCTAAACTTTTTAGATACTCTAAGAAAATCGTTCTTTCCATGCAGGCGAATATACACGGTTCCGACTCGAAAGTTAATTTAATTTCATACTATTGATTGTTAGTGGTTGTTACAAACATAAAAAATGCACACTTACGATGGCGAGATGTTGGGATGATTGATGCTTTTCAATATAAATGCTCTGGACCGCAAATAGCACTATGTTTAATCTGAAACAAAAAGATGAATATCGTCAGTTTGTACATTAACGAAATATAGATAGATAACATTCCTAATATTAATTTATAATATAATTTATGTTATTATCTAGTTGCCATAATTTATCGCTGGCATTTTTAATCGATCACGTTTTAAATATCTAAATGTTATACACATTATAATTATTAATTACAAAATTGAATATTTTATTCTTATTAATTTAATACATTATAGTATGGCTATTGTTTGCCTTTCATCTTGTGTTGAATCTTTCACATGTATGTACCATTTATATATAATTCTATAATATTTTCCAAACCGTCGGACACAGTCCGAATCTTGACGCATGAATATGTGAATATGAAATGTGTCCGATCGCGAAAATGGCTAGTATAATTTTAGATCTTAAAAGCGAAAAAATATTAATAAATTCTAGCAGATACGAGATTATTGTTACTAGTCGAGGAAACACTTGAACAATACCAGTCTTTCTTTCTTCAGGTACAATCGATCAGCACATGATTCGTTCATAAAACGCATGCGAAATATCTTCTCGCTTTAAATTATGAGGAAAAGCAAATTCGTTCGAAGGAGCTTTCTATGTCATACCAAAAAAAATATAGAAATTTCAGTAAATTTATTTGTCATAATTAAACAAAGCAAGAATGACAAATGTAATGTCTAAATACGTGTATATTTTCATACAAACACAGTTTATAAGTGAAAAAACTGGACATTGTACATAATAATGGCGGACGCAAGATATAATCGTATTAAATTTTGTAATTAAATAATAAAAGAGCCCACAACAGTTAATTAGTACTTAATAGCGAGATGGATTAAAATGCGCTTATGAATATCGTACGTGCCGGCATTGTTATAGCAAAATTATGTCCTCGCTGATCCAGAACAAATTAATACCTCAAGCTCATCATTTTTAAAGCTCCATAAATAATAACTTCACTATCGATAACGCTAAATGAAATTGATATCATAATTAATAATCATAATTTTTTTCTTATCGAAAAAATTTACAGTACAGGAGAAAAAATTCTTGCGAATGAAAAATACAAGTAATATTTAATAAAAAGTAGATCGTTAAAATGTATAACATATTTTTATATTGTATTAAAGATTTGTGTATTAAAGATAAGGAAAATGTAACTAAATAATTCACATAATGTCAGTAAACTAATTTATGGTTATAATGTAATTTTTAAATAAGTTTATCACATTGCGTTATTTTTGTACAGTTGTAATTGATTTAAAAATTCAAATCTGCAGCATTCAAATATAAAAGAATACGGTTATAAAGCAAAAGGCAATTGAAGATTTAAACAAGATTATAGACTATGGGATTTATCAGAAAATCAGAAATTCTATGTGTTAGCTTATACATTTATACGACTTGTAGAACAAAAGGTTTTTAAATGAGATTATGATATTTAAAAAAATTTATAAGATTTTCTGACCATTTATTCAATTCTGACTTTATATCCGTATTCATCTATTCGATTAAATAATGGTAGTAGTTTTCAAGATGTTAATTTATTTGCCTTTGCGTGCGTGCATGCGTGCGTGTATTAAAATTAGTAAAAAGTAAATGTAGCACGAGAAAAACGATAAGTGTATATAGTGGTAGGCAATATATTTAATTTCAAGACAGGATATAATAAAATATTCATGAACAATGAAACACATTCAATATTCTTTATTAATTAATAATCTTTCAATTAGAAAACCCATGCATTATAAATGATAACGCATTATATTCGTGCAACAAAACAGAACCAGCTATGTTGCACACGCCAAATATTATAAAAATAAACAAACTTATAATAAACGGAATCGCATAATATACCTCGCAGTGCAAACGATAAAAAGTGCGAATAAACTGAGAATGAAATATATGTATAATGTGAAAAAAAATGCACATACACGTTTTTGCTGAAGCATCTAAATATTTAGCTAGATGCAGATCTAAAAAATATTTTGTTGGACCATTAATTATGTAAGTAATAAACATGATGAATAATGCAAAAAGTTTTGATATTCTAGCAACCCATTTGAGAACGTCTTATTCAGATAATCAATAATAAAAGTTATGTATTTTTATAATATGTACCTAAATTTTCAAATACTTCAGCAAAATCATTTTTTCCATGTACCAAGCAAATTGGTACTTTCAATTCCAAATTATGTACTGTTAATTAAAGTAAAATAAAATCGGTATCAAAACGAGCAATTCTAATTTAAAAAAATCAATAATTAATAAATTGGGTCGAATTATACAGTAGAGTCCAGATTGATTCACGTAAAATTAGAATCAATACCTTTTAGTCCTGAATTAAACATAACAAAAAATAGATGTAGTAGGCCTTAAGCTGTAAGAAATCAATTCAAATTGATTATTCTCCTCATATTCGATTCACATTGGCCTATATTTTACAGCTTAAAGATTATTACATTTATTTGTGTTTCAAGAGTTATATAATTAGTGACTCTCTTCAAATAACTCATCAAAATTTTTTATCTTGTAGAAATTCATCACTAGTTCTTCATTTATTATTTTGTTTTACTTACTTTAAAGGTAGTTATAAAATTTATTTCAACTCTGTTAACGACATATTATATCACAGAATTGTAGCTAAAAAACAGAGGAAAATCGAATCGGGCGAGAATGCACTTTCTTACGATATTTTCCCAATATCAAGCGGGAAGTCAAGTGGAAAGTGCAATGAAATCTTATGAGGAACAAAGATGACTTTTGGGAACTTCAAAACGTATTCGGTCCAAGAGAAAATGGTCTGGATTGAAATTTGGATTGACGGAACTTACTTTGGAACGTTGCGTATGGAACTTTAAGCAGAAAAAGTGAATCGACATGTACCGAGAGAAAAAGAGAGAGAAAGAGAAGGAGAAAGAAGGAAATACTCATAAATCTTTGCGATAGTTATGGCGAAGCGTGATTCCCGATATAAAAGAAGAAGGTTGAGGTTACAGATTGAAGTCATGAGGGACTGGATTTTGATGGAGGCCGGCGACACAGACAACGGTTATGGACGGGATAAAGAATTCAGAATTCGATTCGACGACCATGTAAGTTTCCATGCGAACGAGCATACCGACGTCACGATTTGGATTCACTTCCATATACGTGAAGCAGGTTCGGCAACGTTTCGAGGAGGACCGCGGATCTTATTGAAAGTTCCTACCCGTAAAGTCGGTCTCCGTTGACTGGCCTGGATACATGCTATCAAAATCCCAGTTCTTCTATAACTGGAACAGGTAAAACCGAGAACAGCTCTCTCCTCCTTCACTTTCTACCCTTCTTTCCCGGGAGCGACGATCGAGTTGCGATAAGATTTGAAACGCATTGCTAACAAGTTTGCGTACCTAGGCAAAGTATGTACTTTATGCCCCGTATTTGAAGAACTCGCCCCAGTAACGTTTCAGTTAAAATTAAGCCTTTTATTATGCATAAGTCCGAATGCGTATTATTATCGTAGTATGTGGTTATTCCTGTTCTCTTTTTCACACATTATCAGCTCTCTATAATAGCTGACTTCTTGATAAATAGTTATTTTTTTCTAATATGATTATATTCTTTTTTTTTTAATATACTATAATCGTGTATATATATCACGAATTAAAAAAATTTATAAAATCAATTATATTACAAAATAAATCACTTGCTTCTTTTATCTATCAAAATGGTATAAGTTAAGCTACCTATCCATTTTTTTTTCTATATCTTCCTTCTAAAGATAGTTCACGAAATTTATATAAGTAAAACCGGACATCTATCATACATGTACATTACGTGCGCTATATATAAAGATGCGAGAATCTAATCAAATTTTGGTTAAGGAAAAGTTTCCTCAGAATTAATTGAAGGAGCAATAAATAGAATATGACACGATATAGAATATTCTTATCCCACTCCATCATACTTCCGCCATCGTAGCGCTCTTCAGTGTCCTAAAAGCTTTGGTAGCTATCGATTTTACGATTTAGGCAAAATTCATTCTGTCCCAACGACAGAAGCTGAGTATATTTGCGCGATCGGGCATGCGCCATATAAATAAGGTCGGATCGATAAGCCATGCGGACAGAAAACGAGGAAGAATGGAAAGCGCATAAGAAGCGCGATCACGGCGGCGGAAGTAGATGCCGGCATTTCCTCTTTGCAGTTCCTTTACGCGTATGTTAGTGCGCTGCCTGGCTGACAAGAAAATCTCAGGTATCGCGGTTTTATTTCAGTCAGACGTTAACGCGCGCACGAAATCTGCGAATCGTAAGGGCGTCGCGACGTCGTATAATCCTCGGGAAGTAATTTATCCCCGCGAAATCTGACCGCGAGAAGAAAAAGAAACACTGGAGAAAAAAAAAAAGAGGAAAAGAAAGGAATATATGCTGTAAAGTTATATACATACGGCGGGCCATTCCCGCCGGAAGAGCAAGCGGATAAGTTTATATGAATGAGACCGCGAGTATTGGTAATCCCGAAGATTGAGTTTGCAGTGAAGTTTCCAAGTCGTTCCCTCGGTTCGGCGATTTCTTCCCTTCTTTTTTTTCTTTTTTTTTTTCTTTCTTTTCTATCAACGTCGACGCGAGCGCTGGAATGGAATTAACGAATCAAGGGGCACGAATCGAGTAGCGTCGCTGAAAGTTCGATCTTTGACGACCGGTAGATACGATACGCGATCTTAATCGCGTCCCGAACGAACTCGGGAAGTTCTATCAGAGGAGCTTCCTTCTCGGTTTCCAGTATCGCTTCGCCTTCCGTAATCAATAAGGAAACTTCGTGAAGAACAGATAATATCACTCATGCGAATGTATAATTTGTTTATTGCTAAATTTATTTTCTTCGATTAAAGCCAAATATTTCCAAATATTTCTGGATACACATGGAATATCTATCGGCAATAGAAAGGTTTTATCGTGGATCTGATTGCACCGTTACCAGATACTGCAGTGTTTTTATACTATCAAGCATTTATGACGTGCA